AATAAGCCAAGATGGCATCGTCTGTTCTGGTCGCAAGGAGGTAACTGAGATCGGCGTTCAATATTTATCAAGTTGGTCCGTCCTCGTTATCGTTCGAGGCCACAGACGGAATCTAAGGCAGAGGTAAAAGAATAGAATTTTATGTTTGGCACCTCAGGTATTCCCTCCTATGTTCATAGCGAAGTCTAATCTATTTCAAGCGTGTAAAAGGTTCAGGTATATTCAAGAGACAGTATCATCGACCAAGCAGTGAGCGAATTAATTCAATGCAAATTTTTTGATAATAAAGTTCATTTGGCAGCAACATTCATCACATTGAGGCATTTTATGTGTTGGCTTTATTCATCTTGCAAGTTTTAATTATTCTGCGTACAAAATTTATGAGCCTAAACTATTTTTTATCAACAAATTTGTATTTTCTAATAATAAATACGGAGTATTTTATGGCACATTAGTGGTTGCTTTGAAAATCTAGCTGAAAGTAATTTGAATTCTTCATAGTTTCGATTATTCATTTATTGTTTTGTAAATTTACATGTTATGAACTCTATGTAAAAGTATTTATACGCACACTTGAACATAATCAATGATTACAAATATAATTAAAAACTTCCAAATAGTAATATTTTTTCTGTTGTTATTTAATCCGATTTGATTTGTAGTTGAATGAATATGAATAGGTCAGCATTCTATATTCCTGTGACTCAATGAATTTACTTTCGTTTTTAAAAATGTAACGATCTCAATTTTTTAGCTCAGGCCTGCATCAGCAATGACGGACTGACTGCAATGAATTTATATGTCTATATACAATATAAATTAGTGTAATTATAGGGTTATATGAAAATTTGAGGTCATCATAGAACTCTTTCTAAATTTAAAACCTTTCAATTGGAATTTATGAATACAGTAACCCGGTGTTATTTGGTCGTTTGATGATCCCATAGGAGATTTCCCTCAATTTTCCGCTTCATACCACAAAGGCAATCGACAAGCGCGTAAGTCATTCTCATTCCGGTTACGAAATACCGTTAATTAATAAAGCACCAGCACTCAGCCACGTATTAAGTGTAATTAACTGCAGGGTTCAATTTAATTAAACCGTCGTGCCTGAGGCGTGCTGTGGCTGCAATGAAACACTGAAATCTTGCGTGGCAACGGACCACAGACTGTTGCTTGGTCGCTCAAGTTGGCTGCTATTAGACACTCTCATGGACCATATCGGTAATGGGAGATATTTCCGTATAACTTAACATGAAACGATACTGATGTACCCAAGTAATATCAATGGGTGATTTTAGATACAGGCAACGATTTCATGGGTAATTTCACACATGGGTGACAATTTAATATATGTATATTTGAGTGTTACACGATTCTATACGGTACAAGCGACGCAGGGCAACATTTCAGACTATAGAAGAGTCTCGAGGGTCTCTGAACTTACCTTATAGGAGCAACTTTGACCTTGTACCCATTAAACTTGTACCTCAGTACCCATTGAACTTGTACCTTAGTACCCATTGAACTTGTTCCCTAGTACCCATAGAACGGATCCTTTTACCCTCTGAACGTACCCTAGTATCCTTTGAACGTGCCATATTACCGTTGAACGAACCCCAGTCTCCTTTGAGCGCACTATATTACCGTTCAACGTACCCCAGTATTCGTTTAACGTACCATTTTACCGTTGAACTTACCCTAGTATCCTCTGAACGTACTATATTACCGTTCAACGTACCCCAGTATTCGTTAAACGTACCATATTACCGTTGAACTTACCCTGGTATACGTTGAACATACCATTTTACCATTAAAATTACCCTAGTACCTTTTGAACGTACCCTAATATCCGTTGAATGTACCATATTACCATTAAACGGACCAAATTACCCATTGCACGCACCCTACGAGCACCTTTAAGCCTCTAGTAGCGCTCATTAAGAACCCCGCCGGCGACTTCGGATTCATTGTTTCGCTGCTCAATCTTCTTTAATTGACGGGGAAGGTTTTTGGTCGCACGAAAAATGGAGGAAGTAATGAGCTTCGAAATTCAGACTTATTTTCTTCCAATTGGAGCGATTTATTCGAAATATTTTTTTTTACTGATTTGACACAAGACGATTTAAATATCAACATGTTGAGCAATAATGTTTCTTACTTTTCATTGTAAAATGTATTTATTATGCAATTCTAGTAGAATGTATTTATTCTGCAAAGTATTTTTTTTGTCGGCTTTGTCGACGAAAAAAGTTCTGAAGTTCACCTCATCTTTCGTTTGAATGGATTACGCATTACAGTGCGCTACGATAGCAGCTAATAATTAAAGTTTATATGGAAAAATCCAGAGAACTCAGAGTTGACTACGCATTAATGGAAGTGCAAATGTTATCAACTGGGCAAGAAACTTGATGTTTTTCCGAGTTCCTTTGAAGGACCACGACCTCACCGGAAGACTCCTTCCATTCCAGAAAAACAACTCGAGGAATAGAAAAGTAGCAAGCCTTACGCTGCTCAAGCTTGAGGGTATCCTCGGAGTTTATTCATGTATTTGCTTGTGTAAATAGCAACGTAGACTGATCAAAGTTCATTTAGTGCGAGATCGGGTCATTTTTAACTATATAAATTCATTAAACGTCATAAACTTGTTAAATTTTTTGGCCTCTAAAATATTAAAAAATAAAAAAAAGATCTACCCTGTTGAAAAAATCCATTAGCATTCCCACATGAGTATACTATATTTGGTTTCAAAATCAGTCCATATATGAACGCACACGGAATGTACTGGAATTTAGTTTTTTGCCGTGACACTTTAAATCTTTCTGCGTGAGGAGATTTCGTAGAACGAAGTTTCTACTCAAAGGAGATCAAAACATCCAGGCTTGTGAAGTTGTGAAGAAAACCCAGCAGTGCTACAGCCTACCAAATATTACATAAGCATTTTAACAGCAAAATAATGTCGTTATAGGTTCATGGTCCATTTGTGATTACTTTATTGCAATTGGGAATCTTTCATTATGAGGCAGAATTATTATTTTCTAAAGAACAAGGTAGGGGTGATTCTTGTTGTGGAGATTAAAGGGATAATAGCATAGAATTTTTACATGAGATAATTTGCTGTAAAATTATTTGCTGTAAAATTTGATTGTTTATTCCACATTAGATCTTAAATTTCGGAGGCAACTGCAATTTTAACCAAGTCGACGGTTTGTTCTGCAGAATTTACGCAAATCTTGTTGAAAATAGATCATGGTTAATGAACAGATGTATGGTCTCATGCAGCACTGAAAGAGCTCTAATTTTCTCTGAAGTACAAGCCTCTGTAAGGAATCCTGAAACTCCCAATCAGAGGAGCATAGAAGTATCCTCAGGAGGTCTTTCAATTTACTTGGAGTTTCATAAAGGCTCATCGACTGCCATTTGCCCCATGTAGGCGAATGCCTTTGCATTCATGATTGCAAGCGATGCTTTCCTGAGGGTGAAAATTTACTAGTTTTCAGTCCATATTTTCTTCTCTACTCTCGCAGTAAACTCAGTCGAGAATTCTGGAATAATTTTAGGCAAATTGATATCCTGTCAATTGTTTATCTTTTCTAACGAGCTTCTTTTGAGAGAAATATTGCTCGTAAATATAAAAACTTATCACACGTGCCTTTCAAACCTCATCACCGAGATGGATTCCAGGTATTCCATTTTTTAAAGCATCAAAATTCTATATCATATCGCTCAGTAGTTGTCAATTTTTTCGTAAGCTATTGATTAAAATTATTTCCTTGACTTCTCACTTCAGACATCATGAGTTGATTAAAAAAAGATATGAAGAAATGGAAAGTAACGGACAAGACGCTTTGCCACTCGTAGATTTTTACTGGCTTTGCCACTCGTGGATTTTTCGTCCGGCCCGTACGTCTACGACGTACGGGCTGGACGAGACGACGCACGGGCGACGAGACGACGTACGGGCTGGACGAGACGACGTACGGGCTGGACGAGACGACGTACGGGCTGAACGAGATGACGCACGGGCTGGACGAGACGATGTACGGGCTGGACGAGACGACGGACGGGCGACGAGACGACGTACGGGCTGAACGAGACGACGCACGGGCTGGACGAGACGACGTACGGGCTGGACGAGACGACGGACGGGCGACGAGACGACGGACGGGCGACGAGACGACGTACGGGCTGGACGAGACGACGTACGGGCTGGACGAGACGACGTACGGGCTGGACGAGACGACGTACGGGCTGGACGAGACGACGTTTGGGCTGGACGAGACGACGTACGGGCGACGAGACGACGTACGGGCTGGACGAGACGACGTACGGGCTGGACGAGACGACGTACGGGCTGGACGAGACGACGTACGGGCTGGATGAAGTCTGCTGACATGTTTGCACTGATGTGTGCACATCCTGAAGATGTGCAAGATCGAACACTTGTGTACACTGGCGACCTTTGTGTTTGTATGGGCTGTGCAGCAGATTGCAGTGCACGTCTTTGAAACAGACAGTTAATGCGTTTTTGCACTGAACATTCGATGTTCATTAGACAGGTTATATAACTATTCGTTTACAATGATCAGTTTAATAATTTTTTAGTGCAAAACTCGCATGTTAGCGCTGAAAAGTTGACAGCTGATATGTTTCCGAATATGATATTTAAGCGGGCAATCGAGATATGATTCAGCTGACATGTCGTTTGCTTTTAGTGTGCCGTTGATGGGTTTTTTAGATAGCTTATGTGTTAGCACTGGGCAATCTACACTTTTTCGGCGCCCATTTCACGTGCTTGTGCTGTGCATTTGATTTTTCTTCAGACAGCTAATGTGTTTGCACTAGGAAATCTCCACATTTCCAGCGCACATTTCACGTGCTTGTGCTGTTCATTTGATTTTTTTCTTAACAGCTAATCTGTTGGCAGTAGGAAATCTCCACATTTGCAGTGCACAGGTCGCCTGTTTGCCATTAACCCCAGACGTGTTTACTGTGAGCAGATGATGTGCACAGTGGGGAGGGCGCGGTGGCTAACAGTGGCAGTGTTTGTGCTGTGTTACGTGCTGACGGCGTCTACACCACACGAGTGGGTGGTCATCACAGAGGCTGCTATCAACACCTCCACCAACTCCACCATCTACACCATGAAGCTCGACTACAGTGACGTCAGTTTAATTATTATCATTAAGGATGATTATCTTCTAGTGTTACATTGGGAGTTCAGTCAGCGTTATAAGTTCATGAACAATTAGTAAGTTTAATGGATGCATTACTGGTGATGTAATATTATCTTCGATTTTATGCAAGATGAAGTTTAAAAATAACCAAAATTAGTGCTTTGAAGTCAGATAAATTCACTACAGTATATTTCTGATACACTTTTCTTCCTTGAGCTCCCGCATCAAAATTGCTTTGGATATTCAAAGAAAATACTGTGGAAAAAATCTGTCACCATAAGAGTGTATATAACCCAATAAAATAAACCCACATTTTTGCTACGTATTGTATTGATACGATTTCAACAATGTCATTGAGTGTGTGGAAACAATGCACAATATAAAATTTCTCGAACATTCGTGTCTAGCTGACTTACAAATGGCATGGAATTTCTTTCTTGGTTGAAAAATCTTTGCGTTTTTTTAAGTCCTTTGAACGCGGGGGAAAACCTAGCAAAGAATGAATGCAATTCAGAATTTTTTAACAAGGGTGTCAGTGTTGAAAGTAAAACATCGAAACAGATCCATCATTTTTTTACAATAAATATTTCGCTGAATAAATAAAATAACTATTCAATAATGTTGCTGTTATTGCCTACACCAATTTCTTGCTAAAAATGTCCAAATTAAGCCCTATAAATATTTCAGCACCGTTCTTTCGAAAAGTATGATATGAATTTGATAATATTTACTCTATAGTATGAGAGAATTGCTTTTCTAATTCTATGATTATGGGATATTGCATTGTCGACAAGTTAACTTCTCCATTACATTAGTTATGACAATATGGACAGGGAGGTGGATATTAGGCTAATTGGTTATGAACTCGAGTTACGATAAGCAAATGTTTGATGGAACTCTGCTCTCCAATGTCACTGCCAGCGCTCGTAGTGATATTGGGAGCCGTAAAGACGCTTATTTTGTATAAGCTTGCCCGTCAAGTATTCAAAAGTGACGGTAAAGTCGTCTCGACCGCCCTTGTTGGTCTATAGGCTTTCAATATTATTCTGGTACATATTGATGAATTCCCACATGCTTTTTCTTCGTCTTTATGTTCCCGGCAGTGTCGGGAGTTGACAATAATGCAGAGTACCTATTGCGTAATTACCGACGCGATTACCCTGCATGTCCGTGATGGTGTGTGTCGCTCTAATTTTATGAACGTATGCTGCGACATTTGGGAGTCTGGCTTCATTAACCCTTGGTTTTGCGTTGCGCGAGGTCGCCGCTAATGAAGACAACTTTCACCCAAGGGCTGCACGACTAAACTACGGTGATGGCGAAATGGCAATGTCGAAACGATAGGAGCAGGAACAATTACGAAGTTCATAGAGCTAGTATGATGAGAAGCATACAAATAATTAAAAGAGTTAATATTGTATATTTTTCCAGCCCAGCCTGCTGTGTAACGTTTAAATTTGAAAGAAAAGACTAAACAGTTCACGCGCCCTGGTATGACGATTACTGCCTAAAAACCATGCACGAATTAAGAAATATCGTAGTTTCTGATGGCAGAATTGCATGAGCTTAGAAGCCAAGAGCCACCATAAGAAGAGAAGCGGTATTAGAAAAAAATTTTTTAACTCTGTTCTAAATTTGTCACGTATCCAGCCCCATCCCAAAAAATATTCACGGAGCAAATGGGTATATAAATTTTTACTACAAATGTGTCTCAATGACTTTCAATACAAATTTCATTATCATGGCATGGTTTTCCGTTACGAAGCAGCTCTCTGCTGCTAGATCAGTGCTTGTGGACGGAGGTTAGGGACTGTGTCCCTTTATTTGACCTTTTTTGAAAATGCCATACAGGAAAAAAAGAACGTTTTATTTTCTTGCTGACAAACTGATAGCTGCTGGAGATTTCAGATGAAAATGAACTGAATTTAAACTTGTGAATGTGGAATGTGTTTCTGGCTTCATCAACATGGAATCAATGCTTTGTTCACTATAATACGCTTGAGCTGCAGGGAACGCTATAATTTACGTAAGCAACCTTGAAATGTTCAACATTTAAGTTGAAGTTTACTTATGTATTATAAGATTTTTTCCAAGTTCCTTAGAAAATTGACTCGATTTTTTACATATTCTGAATGTAGAAATATTTGATATCAAAATTAAACAATCAAGAAAAAACAGCCAAAAGTACTTCAAGTAATGGCTCGTAAACATTTTTCACTGACACATAACAGAATTAATTTCAGACATGGAGACAAAATTTTTCCTTGAATTGTCTCCATAGGAAGTACTTTTTGTACAGCAACACTCAAAATAACATAATAAATACACTCAAAATAGCACAATTTTCTGAGTAATCCGCAAGAGTTTCCTTTCCTCAGGACCACGTCTAAAATTGAACCCATTCGTCATCCTATCGCATCCCCTGCAGGTGCTACATTGATTTTGTGAACTCGAGTTCATTTTCGCCCACTTTGGTCTCGCGAAAATACTGTGCAGAAGCTGCAGGTAGAGCATTCAGTTTCTCACAGGCTTTCAGTTGTTACATTTTTTTCTAAAATTCAATAAAAAAAATGTTGCAAAGTGGATTCCGAAACACCAACATAAATATGTTATCAAGGTAGGTTATATTTCTTACAAGAAATTATTCAACTCGACATTTTGACAATGGAGCGAATGGAATCACTTACACTGATCCAGAAACGAACTTTTAAAATTTCATTTTGGTTTTGGCGTTGTTCTAGCTCGAATGTCGGTGAAGACTTTGAATTCACAATACTATTGAACACAAAAATAATTATTTTGCTTCTTACATGGAATAAACTGTTCGTAAATATTCCTAAAATATGAGATAGCCCTTCAGATTTCAATATCTACTCTGTACCGGTCACTTCTCTGCGTCTAATTAGCAAACCGCCAAACACTATATGAGCCTGTATGATACCAACAGTTTTTAAATTGATTTCAGATCAGTTTTGGCGATCTGGATCGGTTTATCAATGAAGATCTAGATTGTCCAAATCATTATATAACTAAATCGAAATAACGATCAAATGGAAGTAGTTATGAATCCCTCTGTGGAACAAACGGAATAATGTTATAACATTTATGAACTTTAAAATCGTACCTTAGTCCTAAACTCCAGCTCTGAAAATATCCCAAACAGAACGAAAATGACATCCTTTTTTCTAATCTATGCCCGTGAAACAAGTCAATGCAGGGTAAATAATCGATATGGTACGAATGACTATTCGCATCACGCATTCACACATGACTATTCACTATCATTATCATTAAATCCCATAACTGAGAATGTCTTCGCTTCGGCATCACCTCACGCCTAGAACTTTCAAAAATTATCCGTGGTGAAACATGAGTTTATTACAAATTAAAATTATATTTTATAAATTAAAAATATAGTCTAGCAATTTCTGTCAAAAAATGTTATACAACCTAGGATGACACTAACATCTTTAATTTCATCACATGCACCAGAGCGAAGGTCCAGAGAAGCTTCATATCACAGGAATTTTTGTCGGGCAGCGAACAATCCAAGCTCTGCTGATTTCACGTTTAAAAGGAGTATGTAATGAAAAATAAAGCTCAAACCCCAACAGGGAGGCCTTCAATTCCTTTGTTTATACGAGTTCGATGCGACGCTGCCTGATTAGATACTAAGAAACGTACAAAGAAACATTCCCCAGGGATGCTATTGATGCGTACGATGCAGAAATTTAGAGTGGTAGCATCATGGCAGAAAATATAATTTATTCTTCGAGTATTAGATCAAAATTCTACTGGAAACTTTTAGCGCTCTCAATTCATAATTTTCTAAATAGATGTTATAAGAATATTTTCAATGAAGCAAGCGTTCTTTCTAGCAGCCCAAAAAATTCCGACAACTTTCTTTTACTCGCGCATTACTCATTTACATAATGCAAGTGTAGAATATAAATACATCAGGGTAATTTTTCTATGGATATATGGGTCAGAAAGATTGCTCATACAGAACGATTTATTTTAAGTTTCTTGAAATTTCTTCGTGAACAATGATCTCGTCACAATGTTTTCGACCAATTATTTTTGAGTAAACAGTCTGACACAAATTCTTGCCTGGTCAGTGCTCAGTATTAGTGTTTGTCTTGCCGATGCATGGTGTATTTTGTGCAAGTTGGGTCTCCTTATAGACACTGCGAGCGTGGTAAATATTGTGCCAGAAGCTTCTTTTGTAAGGCTGATTTATTTCGCGCTTGCTTCCTCAATACGAACGCCTCGCAGCGATGCCGCAGTGTATGTCCAAGAAGCACGTACGGCTCGCCCGGGCTACGATGCTGGCGCATCTTCTTTAATCAAGGTTTTGGCGGAATCTTCAAGTCGTATTTGGACAAAAAATTCGCTGCGGCAATTTGCGTGCCGGCGTTTAATCAAACCCGTAAATTCCTATAGACTCTTTCTTCGTTATTTCAATTATGTTGGTGGCTGTTTTTAATTTAAGATTATGGCAGAAGCTCACGTACTCAGCTAGAGTATGCGTGTGGAATAAACAATGACTGAAAAATTTATAGATCAGTGCAGCAATGCTGGAAAAATCATCAAATAAGTCCACGAAAGGCTTCTAATGTTAAATTCATGTTATTTTCAATGTCATCGTATGTATCCAATGCCCTTTTCTCACCCCGAGAGCGCTATTCGACGACCAGAAAAAAATGCAATAAAACGCGGTACTCTTATTTACGACGACTGGCAGACCATTCCGACAAAGGTTTCTAAAGGCACTACACTTGTTTATGCGGTATTTGTCGCAGCTGCTGCGTAGTTATCCCCCTGTTTATTGCTCTTGATAGAAAATATATTGTCATTTTCTTCTCGCCCAACGTATTCCGCTTCCGCAGTGTGTCATCTCAAAAAGCGCAGTGACTTGAGAATTACTGTATACGTTTCCAATTTGTTACCGACTGACTTACCGTCTCGAGAAGGGTTTCGCTTCTTAAAAATCTATACCTAGAGAAGAAAAAGTGACCCTGAGGGGGAGAAACAAAATTCATTTAAAGTTATCGGCCCACAGGAGGCTTTTTGCTTGCCGATTGTTGCGGGCAGGTCTACAGGCAGTAATATTCTGTCCCGCAGTTGGGCCAGGACGAGATGTACCGGCACAGCTATTATTGGTTCAACGCGGTCGTCTTCATCCTCGTCCCGCTGACACTGCTGGCAGTCTTCAACATCTTCCTGATCTCTGCCGTGCACAGGTGATTAGGTTAACCATGCATGTGTATTACCGTCAAAATTATGAGATCTTGCAGTAAAACAACATCATTATAAAATAATAAACACGAATTACACGTCTGTTGAATGTTTTATGTCAAATTTCTTTTATGTATATAATTCATGAAAGCATAATAAATATTTGGACTTCAATTCAAACATTTTATTTTGATTTTCTAACTATGCCTGTGTATCACCGTCAGAATTATAGGAGCTTACAACAAAACAATTTTGATATAATGAAAAATAAAGACGAGTTACACGTCTATTGAATAAATAATGTCACTTTTCTTTTATGCATATAATTCCTGACACTGTAATATGTAGACTTAATTCAAACATTTTATTTTGATTCTCGTGGTCAAATATTTTTTTCCTTTTTAGCTGCTAACGGTTAAAAGAGCACTTATAAACTATTACATAGTAATTACAGGAGTGAACGATCCAGCAAACAACAACTGAAGAGATTTCTTAGAGACTTGTGTGCATGCTTAAGATTTTCACCGTGACTACACGATGTCTGTGGTGATCATGCGATACGTTTTGCATCAGGAACTACACGATGTCTGTGGTGATTATGCGATACGTTTTGCATCAGGAACTACACGATGACTGNTTACAGGTCAGTGTCCTGTGCAGTGCTACTGCTTTACAGGTCAGTGTCCTGTGCAGTGCTACTGCTATGCAGGTCAGTGTCCTGTGCAGTGCTACTGCTATGCAGGTCAGTGTCCTGTGCAGTGCTACTGCTTTACAGGTCAGTGTCCTGTGCAGTGCTACTGCTTTACAGGTCAGTGTCCTGTACAGTGCTACTGCTTTACAGGTCAGTGTCCTGTGCAGTGCTACTGCTCTACAGGTCAGTGTCCTGTGCAGTGCTACTGCTATACAGGTTAGTGTCAAATAATACGACGTCATGCACTATTATTTTCATAAATCATCACATTCCTGCATGAAACAGTTGACGAATTTTTTGCATTCTCTAATCCAATAAATTAGACATCATAGGCGCTAAAAGCTTTACATTTTTTCAAAACATTTTCAATACTTATTCGGATAAATTTCCATGTTATTCGTTGAACCTCATCCATAAATGCGGCAAATACTTAATAAAGGTCAGTAAATTGGAGGGCCATCTATCCAAATTAGCATTTTTGCCTGATTTTTCTCTTTGAAGCCAGAATGAAATTGGCGCTAGAATGTATGCGCCGCTGCAGTTGCTCTGATGAAAAACGTCCGTAATGAAGCCCATGAAAGATCACGGGCAACACAACTGGTGGTCCCAGTAATCATGCTTGTCCTATTGAAGATTGTCGAGTAATTTCATTTTCCTGAACTCTCGTGAACTTTTTGCTCAGTAGGAAAATGATGGCCGTTGATGGAATAATTTTAAAGTGTTTCAGACTTTCTAATAATGATTGTTATGTGATATCCGTTACCAGCAGAATAGAATGCAGTTCACTAAAATAGCTCAAAACAACATTCTAGACCACAATTCAATTATTTCAGATTCGTTTTCATGAAGCTTTAATTTGATAATTATTATTGATGTTTTAGGATAATTTTTAATATATATAACTTGTTAATACTTGCAGAGATATTTTAACAACGCGATCTAAATTTATCGGCCCATTATTCACGAAGAATAAATTTGTTAAAGACAATTATTATTGGCTTGATAGTACTGATTGTCTAAATAGTACTAGTTGTCTAGATAGCACTAGTTGCCTAGATATTAATAATTGTTTAAATAGTACTAGTTGTCTAGATAGTACTGGTTGTTTAGATATTACTAGTTGTCTAGATATTACTGATTGACGTGATCGAGAAGGTTTAGTTATTTATCGCAAAAACGGATGCCCCAATATCAGGTACTCGTATTTAAAAAAATTCTAACAATGTTTTCTGAAAAATGTATATCTACCGGCATATACGAAATTTTAGGCCTCGTGCTTGTGTAAAACTTTTAGGTAGGTAATTAACTACAGGGTAAATTTTATGATAGCCTCGGGTCTCTTTAAGCGTAATTATTGTCGACTCTCAGGGGGAGATGGCCGCGTTGGGCTTTTAGAGGCAAAATTCCAGGAGTTTTTTTTTTTGTTCCAGATTTCATAACGAAATTGCCTTAATATTTAAAATATTATGATTTACTGTTGTAATACTCTTTTAATTGATCACTAAGAAAATGAAAAATTATAAATGGAAATTAGAATTTTCATCAATTATGTTGAAAGTACTTTCTTGGGTGTAAGCTATCTTCAGAATTCATTCGTGAGTGAATCTATTTAAATTTTAGCGTTAGCAAGTGGGAATTTGAGACATAACTAAATTTCACATAGATGGTGAGCAAGAAATTTTTCTCTGCTTCCTCTCAAACGAAGGATTCTTTGTCGATGAAATTTAAGGCCTCGCAATTAGCGTTCGCAATCCTTTGTCTTACGAAAGTTGAGGAAACGAGCCAGATTTTTGTCTTGAATTCTGTCCAAGAAATACCGAGAGAATAATTTTTTTGCAACTAAATAAGCTTTTAATGAGGAAAGCTAGCAAAAATTACTGTGACATTATAACTTTTTTTAGTAGAAAAAAGAATGTTTAATCAAAACCATGCATATTTTTAATGAACTCGGTGATGTAGCTATTTTCTTCATGCATTTTACAAACGTCCATTGACATCAATACAAATTCTTGAGCGTTTTTAGAAATTTTTGTTATCCTCCTTTCAAATTTTCAAATGTAAAAAGCAAAGGAAATATTACAACATCATTAGCATAATTGATAACTCGCTAGTCATTACATCAGTTTCTTGATTTTTTTATTCGTTTCTCCCTTATAAATTTCGAAAAATATTGCCTTCGATAAATAACATTTGAAATGCTTTCCGATAAATTATTGACGATGGATCGTTGGGCGAACCTTGTAACCGTACTTTATATGCATAGGATTTTTGAAAGGGGTACGGCCCTTTTATAAAATTCACTCAGATGTTTCTGCGCGCTGTTTGAACAGCGACATTTCCATTTGTGCTAGGAAAACACTGATTCTGCATCTCGAATCGAGAGCATGCAAACAAAACTATTATTGGTAATCATTTATGTAAGGATTTATGTGAGTTCTCGCAATGTCAACGTAAACATCATCATTTCTGCTCATCAGCTTCTTAATTTTTTGTTATAAATCGATACAGTGTAGGCAGAGGCGCGGAACATTGATACGTACTCTATTTTTCCACGCACGCACATATAAATGTATTCACCAGCGAAATGCCCACAGCAATATTTATTTTATAGCCCGTTCGAACCGTGATTCTCCATTCTTTCAACACGTCCAATTTACCGATTCGTTTCTTTGACGTTGCACTCAAAGAAATTGGAAGTTCGTTGTCCAAATAGTGATGGGCTATTTGCTCATGTGTGGGTCCATCTTACCCAGTCCAAGAGGACCCACAGTGCTGCGTCAAGTCTCTGCCTGTTCTGTGGGTAAGAAAATGGCACGACTTCAACAATATGATCCATTTTTATAGCATTTACTCATTTATGAAAAAATGCACTATTGTGCTCGCCATGTCCGTCTGTCCGTCCGTCCGTCTGTCCGTCTGTCCGTCTGTCCCTCTGTCTGTCCGTCTGTCTGTCCGTCCGTGACTTCACGTTTACGTCGACGAGAAAATGCGCTCTCTGTCACTCACTGCAGTGAGTACTGAGTTACATTTTTTTCATCAGTATTTTTCTATCTAACTGCGAAACTCATGTCGCGTGCACTTCAAACTACGTAGGCATTACGACTATGTAGTTTGTAGAGGCCTCTTACGACAGTCATTCTACGTGTGGCTTGACTCATACAACGAGCCGCAGCTATGAAGCTGGGCTACAATATTTTTTATTCATTGGATCGTTTCTGCCGCCTAGCACAAAAAAAGCGACAATAGTTTTACATTTAATTTTTTTAAGTATCCATTGTTGCAGCTACTTTTTTCATTGCAATGACAAGAACTTTGTCCCAAAACTGTCATAGAAAAATCTACCAAGGTAAACTGAGATACAAAAAGTAAGATCCATACGATTCAATTCTTGACTTTTGTTGCATGAAATTTATTTTCTTACCATAAAATTTACAAAGGAAACGGGTAAAAATATTCGCACTCTAATAGCTGAAAATTTATATGCCTTGTCATCACTAAGAAGAAAATATCTCCCCAAAATTTAACGCTTTCTCCGTTAATAAGTTTCTAATAGAGAGCACTTCTGTACGAAATATCGGGGAAAATCAAAATGTAAAAATTAAATATTAAAACTCTGTGCCAATTTATGCAAAAAAGAATTCCTTATAACACGGTAACTTAAATTCTCGAAAAATTCTATACTGCACTCAATTTCTCAAATTGATGACTGTTTAAACGATAAATTTTTATTTAATTTGAAGCAGCATAATAAAAACATTGAAAAATTAATAAATAAATTAAATAAAATAATTAAAAATAATAATAATAATTAAAAATAAATTTGAAGCAGCATAATAAAAACATTGAATAATAAAAATTCCTACAACAGCAACCGTGTCAGAAAATTAGTGTCTTTAACTGAACTTCAGAACTTGACATAGTAATTTTACTCGGACTTACTACAGAGAAACCAAATCTACGCTCCCTGCAGGGAATAATCTCCTGGAAAAATGGGATCTTAGCAGATATTCTCCGATCCCCTCCTGCATCAACGACTAACCCTATTCAGTGGGGCTCGCCTTTACGAGGTCATTGGCTGGCTTGGACGCCGCGCGTGACCTTCTGACTTGATCAGGAAATTCTAACCGCAGCCTCGTGCAATTTGCGTGTTTTTGTCAAAAGCTTCTTTTCGCAATGAAAGTGAAACGATAAGATTATAAACGCTAAGGTGATACTATCGTGGAATTAGCATCATAACTGAGTGTAGAATTTGTTGTCAAATCTCATTGGCATTCTGGGAACAGTTCCAAGTACAGTCACTGAAATGTAGAAAATTCATGTTCGGCGAGGGGCATTCGATGAAAATTATATAAAATGGATAAATTTGATCAAAATTAAGAATAGGAAAAATTTTATTAATATACTTTTGTTAGGGCTTAGTATAATTAAACAGTTAGAGGTACATGAATATACATGGACGTGCAATACAATTTCAAATCAAAATCAGCAACTTAATTTAATTAATGAAAAATTGTTGAAATTCCACAAAATAATTAAACATTGATATCTACTTAATCATTAGAACTTTAGCGTAGTACTTTTTTCGGATTATCTATTCCTAAGAATTCTATTCTATTGACCTAATATCTCCTGCATAGATGGTATAAATATTGGCTCTGGGAAAAACCTTAAGCGTAGATCAGACTAATCATTCATGAATGGGTTAAACTGAGAATTGCCAGAAGTTTGATTCAAATTAAAGCCTTTAATAATGTTAGTTAATGCCCACATATTCTAACAATGCCTTAAAAATATGGAAGATTGTACAATGATTCACGCAAAATGAAATTGGCGACAGATGGGAATCAATATTTCCAGAAATGCGACTTTTAAAAAAATAAATGCGACTTTAATGAACTTTTCTCAAATCTTGAAACCTAAGTACTCGTTGAAGTTGTTCTTTATGTGCAATTTCAATTTTTAGGATGAATGTGACAAATGATAATAATTGGCGTCGATATTTTATCTTATTATCTCATATGTTAACTGTTTGTATATTTATCTTGTCATCTCATATTTTAGCTGAAATAGAGCAGTTTTTTGAGCAGTGGTTTTTTATTAGAATATAATCGAAATTCTTCTGAAACACTTCTCTCAGCTCTATGGAGATATGTCATTTGTTTGACCTTTAGAAATTTGTCAAATTCTGAATAAAAATCCATTAATTCCTACAATAAATGTGAATTTACAAGTTCGCTACTCTAACATTGCGAAGACATTTTAAAGTAGGGAAGATTATAGGAGTGGGATAGTGTATAAAGATAACAGTATATAGTACGATATGGTATAAAGAGTAGGATAGAATATAAGAGTAGGAAGAGTATCGGAGGAGAAAAGAGTATAAGATTAGGATGGAATATAAAAGTTGATAGAGGATTAGAGTAGGATTCAGTATAACAGTAGGATATAGTAAAAGAGTATGAAAGATTAAAGAAAAATGGACGAGCAGAAGAGATTGTAAGGATATAGAAGAAGGGTCGAGTATACGGTCATAATACGGGTTAGGGTGAGTAAAGAGGAAGGGTTATAAGAGTAGATAAATGTGGGATCTCCTTCTTACAGGATCATGACTTGAATCCTCATGTTGAATGTGGCGCTATAAACTTTGTCGTGAAGCGTGTATGATAACAATAAAATTGACAACGACTGAGTAGAACAGTAGATATTAATCTAAATAAATACATCGAATAACAAATTTAATGAACTTATCGTGGATCTTAAAGAAGAACATAGTAGTTTAGATAAATTTAATATATTCTTGTTGAATCGCAAAAAAAATTGTTTTCCCTTGGACCAAAGCTTTTGAATAAATTTTCGTCTGAAATAACGAAAACTAGAAAATTTCTTGCAACTTCCTCGCACCAAATAGTAGGCTCTATTTGTGGATCAGCCTCTAGCTCAGCCCTAGGATAAAGAAACAAATGAACAAATTCGCGCCGAGGTTATCCCGAGCATTCGTATCCCTAAGGAATGCCTAGGGAGTTCCTTATCCGTGTGCACATTGCCTTATTTGTTTATTTCTCTTTGTCATTGTGTTGACAATTGTGCTCGCTCGGCCCTTCTCGGCCCTTTTTAGCGCATTTTCTCATATATGGAAAAAATGCACTATTGTGCTCGCCATGTCCGTCTGTCTGTCTGTCTGTCTGTCTGTCTGTCTGTCCGTCCGTCCGTGACCTCAAGTTTTCGTCGACGAGAAAATGCGCTCTCTGTCACTCACTACCGTGAGTACTGAGTTATATTTTTTCAATATCTTGTTTGTTATTTGGTCCTAGAAAAACGCTTCACTAAAATGAATGTATAAAAGCTGTTCTAATTTTCCCATAAATAAAAGCTGAACAACAGTAAGGCCTCTCTTATCCTGTTTGAATGTTTGTATTCTCTATGGAATATTTTTTCGAGCGTCAGCTATGGGAACCGACAAATCTTCTTCTTGACTAGTCAAAGCACAAAATTTTGACCCATTCACAGAGCTAAAGTTAAATGAAAATTAACTTTTACAACATTCTATAGCTTGGATTCATGGAGTCATGCAATTAATACTTCTTAATATATCGGTTCGAGTTACTGCACTAATTTTTTTTATAAATTACTTATGCGCAAGATCATTTCTGATCCGAAATCAACGGGACAAGGTTTATGTCGTAGACATGAAATTAGTTTCGCGCGATCACAATGTTAAACGAATTCTTGGGAAACCTCTGTTATACAATTATAATGTTTTCTTGAGGGATGTGTATGACTGATGTCGGGAAGTCCCAGCTTACAACGCTCATGAAAATGCGTACCACATGATCAAGTTAGTCAGTCAATTTTTATTTTGTTGCAATTTAAATTTGCAATGTTTATACTCTCAACAAAGCAATCAATCCTAAACAAGCAGTGATTTATAAAATGTTTCTCCCCCTATCAGCCGCATTATGGAAAAGCATCTGTGGTGATCCAGTAGATTGTTTAGCTTATTTATCATGCAGTATCCTACATTACGAGCGATATAAAAGATGGCCATTTTATTTTACGTTTGTTCAGCGCTGTAAAACAGCCTCCGGCAGCACACTCTCCCGCGTTCGCCATCATGCGAGGTCTGGGCAACATCTTCAACCTGCTGAACGCTATCAACGCGGCCGTCAACATCGTCTTGTACTGCGCGTTCTCTGATAAGGTAAGTCGATCACCCATGCGATGTTTCATCCTATGAAGGCAGGTAGTTTTAACATTTTACCCGCGTTATAAATTTTGTCACTAAGCCGGAATTTTAAGAGCCAATTATTAGGCCATCGAGGAAAAACGTGTAGAGAGGAAGGGAAGAGTACGACAATAAAGTCCAAGAAAAATAAATTTTCTCCATAAAGCTGGCAATATTGAATTAGCATTAGGGAGAAGCATAGAATCTTAATTGGTCGGTAGTCACTCAATAATAGCAGATGTAGCCTGTGAAATAATATCGGAGTCCGCCTACCCCCATCAAAGTAAACTATACACGTTACGAAAATAAACATTACGAAAGCAAGGAGTCATACCGCTCTACCCAGCACAAAGCCTTTGGAAGCAATATCTCCTCGCTTCCTCATTCTCATCTTCCTACATACCTGTCCAGAGCTCAATGAAATCGTTGTCTCCATAATTCAATCTTAATGCCAACAAATTACTCCCGATTTCTACCTATCGATAACAATAAAGAACAAGAATTTAAGTGAAGTTGAGTACATCTATCATTCCTCAAGATATTTATCGAAATTCATATTTTCTCTTGGTGATGATTAATATCAGACTGATTATTTGAAATTATTTCAGATTTTATAGGTATTATGTCATAGGTCTGAATAATCTACAAATACTTATTTAATAATCTACAATTATGATAGATGCATCACCATGTGAAAGAAAAATTATAGACGAACGCAGAATTTTTTGGAAGAGGACTAATTTATCAGGCATGAAAGCATGAAAAAAATCAACCGTCGAAGCCAAATTGCGAATCTGTTGTGAGTGAAGCGGCAATTGACGGCCAATTCTGTAACGAAAAACTTCCATAACTATTTTGCCGCTGCCTTGATTTCAATATTCAATATGACTATTCTACAATATTCCAGAGTTATGATAATTTATTCTGTAATTTTCCGTCTATGAATCTTCCGATGAAATTTAACTTGCTTCACGAATGATGCCTCGAGCTTGACATGATTTCAGTTTTATTTTGAATTTTAGCAAATCTATGATCACTATTCTCTCATCGTGCTCTTTCGCTGTCCTGTACTATAAATGACTACAGAATAGTGCAACCCCGTATGTATAGTAATGATGGTAGAAGTTGTACTGATTATTTAATTCTTATTATAGACAGAGATTTGCAACTCGTACAGGAACTGTTACTAAATATTTCTTTTTCATCATCGTACCGCTTGGAAATTAAATATAAATTCTACCGTATTTTGTCAATTTTATTCAACAACCGCTCAAACAATTAAACAAAAAATTTAATACTAATCTCGTTATTATCACTACCGTTGATTTCTCAATGCTGCAAATTAAAACCTCATATTATATATAAAAAATGAGATTGAATTATTGAAACGAAATACTTTGTCTCATTTAGGTGGATCTATGCGCATGGGAGAACATTTATCTAATTTTTAATCATTAGATGATAAATTCGTTTCAGGATTTTTTAAAAGTCTCACACTAAACGGTCGCTTCTGTTTGAGTTTGTGATGACGTCAGGGGAAATTTCCATGATCTTCTCTTTTGGTTCTTCCATGCAGATAACCCTGAGATCGGCCTCTGCAGGCTCTCTTTTCTTAACGGCAAATTCCTCTCCTCATGGCCGACTATAAAGGACGTAAATTTCAAATGATTATACAGAACTAAATTCTGACATTGCAGGAGACCTCATGCGTCGAATAATATTCAATTTCTTGGCTCGATATCAACCAAAAAATTTTAATATGAATATTTGAATATCACATTGCCGGACCTAGTGACATCGCTAATCCGTTTCAGCTCTTGTGAACAGTTAACTAGCCTAACACATTTAAAATTCTTTCCTAACCTTGCTGTCGTACAATTGTTCGAAACCTAAACTAAAGAGCGAAAAATATGAGCCAAATATAAAATCGTACTTTGCGATTTGAGAATAATGTTAGATATAAAAACCAGACTCAAACCCCAAGCGAGCGTTGTTATAAGAAGTTATAATTTTAAACTAATAAATCATAGTGTTGAAGCCAATAAGGAGCTGAGTAGTCAAGTATCCCGAAACCAAGGACTCAATCCTTCAGCAGCCAATGCATAAATTTTTTAAATAAGCATTGAATTTATCATCTGTCAACAGGATGCATCATTGTCGCTATTAGTTGAAATGAAGACTTAATCTATCACATAAAATACAACAAATTATTTTCATTCAAAATACTATGAATTGATTGGCAACGCTAGTGAGATGGTTCGGTTCCGACACAAGTTATTTTTAATATGCCTGTTTCCAATTTTACAGTTACCTCATCCTTATTTCTGGAATAATAAAATGTCATCATCTTAATATGAACCTTCACATAACTGTTTCAGGAGTTCAATCTATTTAATCTATTCATGTCATTTAATCAGTTTCCTCTCGAAAACCGAGAAATAATTATTCACAGCTCGTGAATAAATTTCTGAAAATTTTCTTGTTGTTTTCGCGATTAGATAAAGAAGTAATGACGTAGTCTATATGTGGAAGCGTCAATGCAGCAAACCGCATTCCTTAATTAAACGCGGCAGTCTTAAGTGAACAATGGGCCTAGCAGGTCACATGTTGGCCGCCGCTACCACCAAATGCTGTTTGTCTTCCAGTCAATGAATCTCGTCGTTAATAACCGTCTTAGATCTCACTGAGAGTCAGTTAACTGGATGCAATTAGTTACCCAGGTCTTCGATCAAATTTGATCGAGAACATGAAGGTCGCAAAGGGAATTGCTTGACAAATCATGTCAAGCTAATCAAATTTGGGTTATCCATTCCTTTTCGTCACCCTGCCTCAAAGATTGACATTGACAGTAACATAAAAAACTGTCTTAAAACTCATAATATGCATATAATTCACTTACAACATATATTATACATTCGATTTATATTATATAAATAAATAACGAATTTTTATTCATGTTATCTACTTATAATGATGTTATTTAATTTAAAGTAACGAACAGACAACTATTTTCATGTCACTTTACATACCTGTTCATACATTTTCCTTCCTGGAATCATTAGGATCACATGCCAATTTTCCCCAACTTCAGAGAATTGAAAGTCTTCAAACATGAGCATTCCCTTAAAAAAACGAATATGACGTATCGTCTAACCGTTTCTTCTCATTTACGCAAATGAGGCCAGAGCTACGAGGCCATATTTCAATGCAATACATCAGCAACGACTTCCATCATACACGGGATGCCGTAATTTGTTCGTCCCCTTAACTCACGATGATTTGTCAACGTGTCTCATTTTTTATACGTCATTCGCAAGATAGGAAATGAAAGCGCGGGGTGTTAGGTTAATCGAAAGAAGCGCCTGGATGTGTATGAGAAATGTGTCGTCTGTCAGATATGGGCCTCGTTGTTAAAATTTTGTCTTGGCTCAACAAATAAGTAAAATTTATTTGTAATGGAGGAAGATTATTCTAGATAAGAAATTTTAAACACGACGTAGTCATATACTGGAATTAAATGTTTACAGAAAAAATCTCTTTTTAAATTCGGTTGAGTAATCTGTCCGATATAAGTGGATGAGGAATATTTTGCTTCGCAAAATATCACGGATGAATTTTTCGAAAAAATACATATTTCTAATCTACGGATGTGTTAGTGAAATCCGAATGAACCTCAGCCAATTGTACGAATTTAATCTGCTGAAACGTTGATTCTGCATACCAGTCTCTGTTAAAAATAGAAACAAGTTACTTGTATTATAACAACTCCGTTAGTTGAATATTACCGAACTTAGACTTGAAAATTCCAAAACGCTCATTTCAAGAAAGCTCCAGAATATCCTCGAAAAATGTCCCAATCCATCAATCACCTCGAACAACACGAAGATCCGGTGGGATTTTATCTTCTTGCACTAATTCATTTGCACTTTGCATTTCAAACAATGCATTTGAGTCACAATCATTTTATTATTACATGCAAGAAAGAAGGCATATTTCACCAATCCGTGAAGAGTAGTGTCTCCTTACACGACTTGGAATATCGTGGGGTCAAGTCTGCCATTCAAGTCTGCGGTAAATGCAACCAGTATTTAAGTTACTCTCTGACAAATTTAAACGACTATTAAAATATACACGAAGCAGAGCGAAATTTATCGTAATGAAAAAAAAAGAGTGGTAGAATGTTTATTTTGGTATTCACAGTTATTTATTGATCATACTTATCTGGTAAAAAATTTTTTTAATAGTGTAATTATTATTGAAAAATATTATCGAAACATGAAAATTTATTAAAGCTATGAGTTTGTTGATCTCGAGGGTTTTAATTTTATAATACTGTGGGTTTCTTGATCTCAAGTGTATTAATTTAGCTTTTACAGTAAGGAAACTTTATTTGAGTGTCACGATGGAGTTTAATTATATAACTGGATTAAAGTGAACTGTAAAAAACTCTTTCGGTACTAGCATTGCATTCGACACAACATCTATTCCGGATGCACAAAAGATACATCACGATGATGGAAGCGTTTTAAAGTCTTAGATGCAGCTTAGCCTTCAAACTTTTAGTCACATCCTCTGTACTCTATCACCTTGCAAATCTTTCGTCCGAGCAATTCCAGCAAATCCTATTTCTCTCAAGGGTCTCGTTGAAATTCCATTCTCGTTTGGATCAGCTGAGAGCGCGTCACTTTTTGAATGGAGAAACATAGCAGAACAACTGTGCCTCTGTTGACATTCTGCGTGCGTTGTCATAGGTTGTTTAGATAGTTTAGTTTCAAGTGCATCTCGTGAATATGTAAAATGTTATTTATTAATAATTGAGCTGTTATCCTTTCGAAATGATTAAGATTCTGTTTTTTTTAAGTTTCCCAATGTAATAAAGTGAAACTAAATGTCCGTTTGACGGTAGTTACTACTCTCTTCATTATTTAAAATCTTAAAAATATCTAAAGAAAATAAAATATTTTTGACGGCTGCACATCTTGATTTTATATTAGATTTAGCTAAATTTATTTTCTTAGAAAATAATCACGATTCCAATTAACTAATTTCTTCATCACGCATGAATAATTACGTAATTACGTACTTTCCCCTTCTTGTGTGGAACTGATCTGAAGCCATTTAATGTCCCAAAAGTATTTCTTTTGGAAGATACAGATACAAATAAATTTATTCTATTGACTTAAAATCATAGTCTTCGATATTAATTCTCGCGCTCAAAATTTAAACGCCTAAAAATTGTCATTAAACTTTTCCTCTACAGTACAGGAGAACATTCCTGAAGATGTTCGTGCCATGCGTGTTCCGTCGCAAGGCTCGCTCTCTCTCTTTCCTCACTACCGCCGGCGACCCGGACGCTCTTGGAGGCGCCGTGCCACAGGAGTATGGACGAAGCTTCCGGCTGTCATCACGCGTCATGTCGGGCCGGTCCCTGAGGGCGGCAGGCAGCGACAAGAGTAGCCCGCACAGCAGCAGGAGCAGTTCATTTAGGAGCAACAGACCTGCCGAGAACATGTATCGACTCACCGACAGGAAAACGTAAACTTTTCATTCATATTATAAACTTTTTTGTATTTGCAACTGGTATCAAACGAAACAGTACCATACTCTCCAGAAATTATCATACTAATCAATCTTTTTTCTTGCATAAATGACATAGTTCAATAACTTTTTCACTAAAAATTTATTAGACTAGTCGTGCCTATTAGTCCATCGACAAATGTAATGATTCCAATTTTGGATTTCGTTGACCAATCCAGGAACAGAAAGTAGTGCCTTTAATGTCATTTCCGACTACTAATATTATTAAATAGAATTTTTGTCAGCAAATAAATTTCGATTTATTAAAATGAGTGCATCCTCATATCACTATTATTTGTTCAATTAAAAAAACAGTGCATCAACGTTCGCATTTTATTTAGAGGTCACTGATGAGACAATGCATTGACAGCTCCAAAACCAGCAGATTCGGAAAAAATAAAATAATATCGGTAGTAAATTTAAATATATATCCTAAACATGTCATTTAATTTTATGGAAGTACGAAGATTATACTCACGGTTGTGGTAATTTAGGTGTAAAGTATTAACTGCTATTAACGGCAGTAAAGTTTTAACTGCTTTGCCCCAGATTCTTAAATTTTTAAGCCCGCTGGCAGGGAGGCTGGTGAGCGGAGCGACTCTAATGCGATGCAAACATAATCATGCTTCATATTTACGACACAATTAAACCGCCCAGATTTGAATAATGTAACGAGATAAAGTCATGTGACGAGTCGTAGCTGGAGCGTATAGAGCTGCAGCTCGCGCTGCTCATGCCGTTTGTAAAAATTTAGCGTCTTTCTGTCTCTGCTAAGAAAAAAAACAAGTTTTTTAATACGTTAATTGTCATGGCAATGCATCAAAAACTGGTTTAAAATAATGGATTTATAAATTCATGTTATTTTATAATCAACTATAATTCTATTGCTTAGTTAGCATATCGAGAATAAAAACGTACGAGCCCCTACGGAGCATCAGAAAACAAAATCATGGAGACATGGCGAGATTGTAAAGGACGATGATATTTATCAGAAATTGACATCTGTTGCTGTATACAAATGGAAAGACAAACGAGTTCCCCTCAGCATATCAAGCTTGCCCGCTCTTGAAAGTGCCCAATCGCAATGCAAAATTTCCAAAGGGCAGAATCAATTTGGGATTCCAATAATTGAATTTCTGGCTTCGACCTTTTAGATTAAGTGCTCTCGTAAAACTCGTCTATGAAGAAGACTAGCAGAAGGCCACAAAAAGTTGTATAATATATTGTATGTGTTCTCAAAAATTGCAAGCAATATAATGTAATTTGGTTCACCTGAATTTCATTGAATTTTACTAAATAGGTATTGTTTCATTATTTGAAAAGTTTATGATTGTGATAACTACCATAGTTTTTCTTCTCTTTTCTCTTAATATCTTTGTTCTTTAAAAATACTTAAGCAAAAATTTAAATGCATCTCTGCACATCAATTTCTCATATGAGCCAATATGCCCAGAAGCGGCGATGGCTCCGGCCCATCAGAGGGCGCCTGGGGCGGGCGACGCAAAAACTCCTTCACGTGCTCGCCAGTTGACAGGAGCGCGTCGTCTACAGCCTCCTACGACAGCAAGCAGGTTAAGGTGAGAGCAGAGAGCTCTGAAGATATTTTACCCCGACGATTTAGTGCTGTGAATTTTTGTTTTGAATTAAAATAAGTGCGTCTGAGGGACATCGCGTCCGAGATCATTACTGCAGTGCTTCAGCTCCAGCTGCTAAGGTTATAAATGAAGTGATTTTATTGCACTAGATGCGAGTTCGCATGACGGAATAAAGATGACAATAAATGCCTTCAAGAGTCGTTTATAAGTTTCGTTGAGATATATTTCCAGGAATAGTCGTATAGCGATGATCACTAATAATATATTTCTTCAACAGCGCTTCTCGTTCGACCCCTCACCGACAAGCACTCCAGTACCGGATTATTTGGTGATACCGGACATCACCATCACCACGACCAGCATCACTACTACTACCATCACCACACCATCCACCGTCAACACCTCCCTATCATCACCACCCTCTGATGATCCCGCAGACGACAGAAGTAGAGAAGAAGTTTCTGTATTTTACATGTATTCACCAGAGAACATGAAAGCGAGTGATCTCTAATTATTTGAACTCATTATTATTGAATCGTTTTTATCAATAAAGTAATTTTTATTTCTCATATTAACGATTCATCTGTTAATTATTGAACCAAACGATAAACGTAGCCTAAATCAAATTCAGGCTACGGGTAGGTAAAGGAATCCATTAAAAAATTTGGAAATTTCAATAACATTCTGGAGACTAGTTGGTGATGAAGCTGCATCTTTGTATTGTTTTACCTCAAATGCTTTTAAAATATTCACCTACCTGCGAAATTGAGTATATGTTTAGCGGAAGTATGACAGATACTACGAACTTTCTTAATTCTGTGTGAAAATCTGGTTTTATCTAACTATTTAAGTTTGATTTAACATCTAACTAACGTTCAATGTGCAGACAATAATGAAACATCATTTAGGAGGCAAAACCACCGATGCAAAAAATGACACATGACGAAAAATTTTAAAATTCCTATTTTTTTGCTTCTACTTGAAAAGTTTGGAGGTTAACCTATATGATCCTGTGGAGGTTCCTAAACACTTTAGGAAAGCAGGTCCTTTAGGGAAACTAGGCTATTTATTTCTCGTGCATCGTTTAACGGGCTTGGAACGCTGCCGTTGAAAGTAGATAAATGATAAACATCTGATATAAGAAGCTTTCAATTTAATATCTTCTTTAATATCTTCTTTCAATGATTTAATATAGTAATTACGTTATGTACTTGCAGAGACACCCTGATCACGAGCTAATGAAATGCTATTGTCATTGGCTGTATACACAATGTAAGGAACACCGACCTGCTGTAAAATAGCGGTAAAATATTTTCTAGCTCCTCTTGGAAATTGTCCATTCTGCGAGAATTACAGAGCACCTGGAAATGAAGCAATCGGAATACTTCTTAAAATTTAATAAGAGTACGAGAAAACGTCATAAATGAATTGTTGTTCTGTGAAACTTTTAGTTATCAATTTTTAGGCATAACACTATTGAGCATAGACCACAAGTAGCAAATAATTTAAATAGATTTTCATCATCCGAAATTTGTGATATTTAAGGTTTTTTATTCGTTCACTTTTTCACTGGAGAATGCTGATGAAAGGGTTTATTTCAGATATTTGGACTCTGTGTTATCAATTTTAGGTTTAACTATTGGCCAATTTAATAGGAATAGCAATGTTATTGATATTCTGTATGTATACGTGTATGCGTGTGTTTTTACATATGGCTTTGGTTTTTAATTGAAAGAAACAATAATTTGTTCAATTGTATACGTGAATTTGGCTCAAAATTTTGATTAAGAACAATTGCTTCCTTTCTTTGTCAATCAAATGTAAATAATATTTAAGACAACTTTAGGATCGAAACATACTATATCTTAAAGATGTTTTGCGCAAGATTAGATAGCTCAGGGTATATATTTTTTTACATGTGTACAGGCCATAAAAACGCATCCTCCTTCTGATATCAGTCTTCTTATCAGCAGTAATCATTATAATATATAAGTCAATATAATGTGTATTCTATGTGGTCTACTGATAGTCTAGTGAAAGAAAAACTGGAGCTTCTTCTGTAACTTTAATGGAAGAGTCAAAAAGAAAATTTCTGCATTAATAATAAGTAGTTCAGTCAGAATTTTTCTCCTATCATTTAGGTACAAGTTCTATAATCCCTGTTTCCTTCATAGTTAAATGTTATTGAAAACTCTAAATAAAATAAGATTCATAAAACATTCATAACCATGTATCTGCAACCAATGAATTTATTGAATGTATATGAATGTCAATTTAAGGCGAATAGATATGTATTGATAAAGTCGCACGCTAAATATGTATGTAGGTTGAATACGTAAGAAGAGGACTAAACAAATTTTTATCTAGCTCAATATTTCCAGTCAATTTAAAAAATTCTCGCTTCTTGCAATTGGATCTATTTAGCGACTAATGAAATTAAAACCAATATGGAACTTTCTGATGTTTGCCAGAAATTTAGCTTATTTTGCTCTTCAGATTGCGGGTTGTGAATTTTTCGGATAGCTTCCATATTTAGACGTCACCATAAATCGGTGTAATGTGCCAGTATATGTATATCATATGATACTTGAGTACTAGAAGATGTAAACTAGGTAACATACCGCAATAGATGTTCTCAGTGTCAGTACATATTAACATACCTAGTTTACATGGATGTTCTCAGTGTTAGTACATATGTTGCTCAAATACGCCAGTGAACCTGATTTTTAATATTCTTCTGCTGGTGTCACAGGACAGAAAATTGCAGCATTATTCCTAAAAATTTATCGAACATTTTTTTCGTTCAAGAATCTGGCAACGATTTACAAGTTGCCACGGGCAATTCATTTGACGCCGTAGGCATACCATTGGATTCATAAAGTTCATTCACTTATTTTAATAGTTATTTCCTCATTAAGTTGAATTTGATTCAAATAATAGTAATTATCAACGGCTTCAATAATCTAGGTACCAATGGGGGAAAAAAGTTAGAGCCACTGGCCTAAATCATAGCACTAGCGCTATGGAGGTAAAACATTTATTTCCATAACATATTTCTGTGTTTCCTAAGAAAGGAACTCGCCTTCTATCAATTAGAAAAGTGAGATCCCGGGAATGTTCTATATTCTATGAATAGGCGGTGTCTATAATATACGCTCCGTAATAGCTCATTATTAAACCAAGCATTTCCTGAAACATTCCTCTCTTTTTCTCAAAACGCACATATATTACAAAATCTTGTGTTATGAATTTCAAAATGCTTTTATTGAACATTTGATAAACGAATCTTCGCTCTCCAAAAAAATCCATAGTAACATAGTCATTTTTCAATCATAAAAATAATAGAGTTAATGGCCTATTGCATAATTAAACATGCACGTTGATAATTGGAAATGTCGTAATTCGTTTTCCAACAATTAGAATTGATGGCTTCAATTATATTAAGATTGAAACGAACTTTCTTCCTTTGGGATATCAAATCAAAATAAGACGTAACGTTAAGTGACTTCTATTTACTAGGGAAATTTGTAGAGCACTAGCGAGTCAATGGATTAATTATTGAAAATTTGTATTACTGGACTTCGTTCGCTGGAATTTATGTTATGATGAAGTTGACTGCTGTACCCCGAGGAACCAACCTATATACTCGCTTCATTCAAGTTATCTTTTGAGTAATTGATTTATTAGTTCATCTTCATTCATATAGGTATTGTTATTTCGTACATGTACCGTACTTTTTAAATCGAATATTTTCTTATGTATTTTTTTCCTTGTTATGTAGAAATCGTTCTTCAATGACACTAGTTTCATATCCTGCCATGGCGACGCGTCTTAGAATAGTACAATAACAGTTCACAAATGACTATCATTAATTGCGCCATGATTTACCTCCAATTTATTTACCAATAACATCTATGTTACCTATACAACCAATTTACTGCAAGAGCTGCTGTAACTGAGGCCTTGTCTATGCCCATTATAAATCAACGAAACCGCAACCAGCCAGAACGTTTGATGTTCAGGACGGACTTAATTCATTATGGAGCGATCCACAGCCAACACATTGCCGAGACGCTCGAGCGCACGTCAAAGGAAACTCTGGCGCCTCAACTCGGCAGCGGGATGAAGGGAGCCTGGGTTTAGGATTCAATTGGAAGAAAGGATATGGGTTCGCTGGGTCCTGAGACGTGAGAGTATTGTGCGGTAGAGCTTACAGTTGAGGATATGATCATATTCACAATAATTAAATCAAATGACTGGAAATGACATTGGCTGGAATCTCGTGGTCCGTCGTTGCTTATTATGTAAATCGTAAATGATACAGCAAGTTTCCACAATAGTTGATGTCTTTAAATCTAAAATTAATTTATTCTTCTTTATCACAGCCTTATGGTTTTCAGCTGCTTTATATATACATTTTTACAACTTTTTTCACAAATCAATATATTTCGCATAAATTATTCTCGAAATTAATCGGGGAAGAGTAAAGCATATATAAAAATTAAAAAAAATCCTTGTTTAATATTTATTTCAGCTTAATTTCAAAGACTCTTCTACTGTCACAATATACAGATCAAATGTTTAGCGCAGAATATAATCTTAAAACAATATTTTGAATCATCAACTTAATATTAGAGAAAGCTTCTACGATCATATAAATTCCCATTTGTAGAGTGACGACCTGACGCGTGTAAGTTATTATCTACACGGATTCCTTACTATACCCTAACAAAATTTAGAGCCGGGCGCGTCTCTGAAATAGTTAACGCACAATTAAATTGTAACATATTTTACTCTACCAATGAGGAAAAGACTATAATAAGAAAAACAAAGTCATTTGAACATCGAGGAACGGAGGACGTCGATTAAACCATAATATAACTGAGAACTGGCTACACTAAGCCCCTTGTGTAGAAAACTGAAGGTAACATCTTACCATCTTTTAGTAATTTTTATGTTCATTCAGTTCAAATTAGTATATATGGTGGGACTTGCAGCTTGAATTATATTAAAATGCCATCAAATTGGTAAATCAAAATTTCATTCCTGATTATACAATCAAGCGCAACCGCTTCGTAGTAAAACTTTCTCTCCTGCATAATGACTAGAAAGAATAATTCTACCTACGCCTAACACGTGTCCAAGCAAGCAGTCTCTCATAAGAGTATATTGCAATTCGTCTCACAGCATGCAGTTCATTTCTTACAGTCTCTGAGCAAACACACAGGTGACCAGATCTTCTCTAACCATATTGGCAACATGTTACTTCGTTGTGTCATCAGGATGATGCCCCCTACCTTTATTTTCCTGCATTCAATTCAAGCTGTCTCTCTGGGTCCTCGAGGACTGGCGGTCGCTAACATGTGGGCGCTGAGGAGGCCGCAACAGACTACAGGAATCATTCTGAGCGATTTCATCCTACGCTTTCGTAACTTTTGTATCAGTACTCAGAATTAGGAGCGTCTAGTCGGCATGGGACACTTGGGCCACGGCCCTCAGTGATCGGAGGACCAGCTAGCAACGCAACGGAGCTGATTCTGCATTCATGAAGGTAAGCTGCGAAAACTTATGCGCAGAGCTCGTTAAAGCTTATTCATGATACCTTGTCTCTCCATCGGCGGGTAGAATTTTTACTCGGGAACAAATAAATTGAAGAAAACTGGAATACCTACTTTTAATTTTAGGCGAAGGCCATAACTTAAGGAAAACCTAGATTTGCCGTCTCTTAATTTAATGGTTTCAACCTTCAGCTAGAGCGTCTTGCTTAATGTCTTCGTATTTCAAATTTTATATTTCTATCTCAGAATTAGTATTCACCTATCTCCGTAGTTCGGATTTCGATTTTCTACAGAGGACTGACGAGTGTTAGGATGCTCGAGAGTCGCGTCACATCGTAGTCACTGCTATCCTGAGCTCCCGTAACACAACTTTAGGGATTAGTGGTTAATTAATAAATTCAATTCGTTGATTCTCGCTTCGCTATCCCACAATCGTCCGTGTTTTTTTTAACACTTTTACATCAGATAATCTTAACACCTTAACATCAGATTCTCTTAGCACCTTAACAACAGATTCTCACTTTATTATACCCCACTCGGCCGGGTTTTTACCATCAGATTCTTTATGCGACTGTCAGATCCCATTCTCACTGCTTAGGCGACTTCTCTGGCGAATCTGTTACCTGCTATACGACTCACTCTTTGTTGAATACTCATTAGTCCATTATAAGAAAAATTTGAGCGTTTGTTCTGCAGTTTGTTTCTGAGGTTTAAAGCTATCATATTTACATTTACCAGCCCCAAAGATTCCGATTCGATACAATTCCCGTCCCTGTATTTACTACATACTCCTCCATGGCAATTATTGGCGTTGTTCAGTGTCACAAAGCAAACGAAATCCCATGCAGACTAGCTTGAAATAAAATATGCCTTTTTGCCACACACTTCTCTGTGGTCAAGACTGAATTGATTATCTCAAAAAGTTTTCAAATAAGATATGGTGAATTTACTGGGCGTTTGCATTGCTATTGATTAATTGGTGAATTTGTGACTCAAGCCGACTGGTGGGCTTAAAAATGATGAAAACTATTACATCATTCTCTCTTATAAGAGTTGATTACAAATCTTCTGTCGCCAATTAGCATGCTGAAACAATCCTTCTAATACCGAACGACGATTCAACTTCGTCTCCTGAGCTCGTTCCAAGACGATTAACGTAAATCGAGCGTCAAGATGGTAGACGATGTCAAACATTTAGACGATGTCCTTCGTCAGCCGCCAAGACCTTAGACGGCGACTACGACCATCATTCCTGGACCCATTATACGACCATCATTTCAGCGTCTATGGTAACGGAATACTTGCATTTGAATTGCGCAACTATGATGAACTGTAGCGGTTGAAACTGTGTGTTCTGAACCTGTCGCCGTTGAGCCTGCACCAATTTAATCTTAGTCTAATGTTCACAAGTATTACTGCACTTATTGGACTTGCAGCGGTTGAAACTGTGTGCTCTGAACCTGTGGCCGTTGAGCCTATTTTGCATATGTACATATTTAACCTATAACTATTGAATTTTCATTAATTTTTAACGATAAATTCTCTGTAAAAGCAATAATAAACAATTAATTTTTAGCCAAAAAACTTATAAATACTCCACTACTCCAAAACTATAAATCATTGTACCGATTGGAGTTTGTGTGGTCTTAACCTCTCTTTTTAACCAAATTAGCACATCCCTGCATAATCGGTTGTGTTTATTGTTTTGTCCATGAGTCAACAGAAAAGTAGTACTGAATTATAAAGTACATTATATCTCGCCCTTTGTAGTGTTCCTTTTGTGCCAAATTCTCTATCATTTAAGAACCTTGAAAATCCCACAAAGACATATTCACACTAATGCTGTGCAATAAACTTCAATCTTGTTAGCTAGTATTCATCGCAGGCAACGGTCGGAGTTACCGAATTCAGGGATGAAATAAAACAAGCAGGTAGGGAGCAGTGGAGAGTTACCCCCCTTTTTATTTAGCACTTATCACTAATGACTCATCCTATACATTCATCGTACTTTACAAACGTGAGAACAAAACGCAATGTTTAAAATATTCTTGCCACTCCCTGTGCCATCAACCATTCGATATTTAGGCGGCAATATAACAGACGATATTACAAGCATAAAATACCGTAGTGGTTGATACAGAAACGTCGATATTACGTGCGCTTATAATTAGTGGTCGCTAAAGCGTCGACAATGAGAGCACGTTATACCGTCATGGTGGCGCGGAGTGGCTGATTCGAGCAGTCAAGTGTCAGTCTATTGGAAGCAGGGCGGTAGGTATACAGAAAGAATAATTCCTAATTAGTTTTTATGAAGAGTGAAAAGTCTATAATTGGGCTCAAGTCATCAATGTTCTTTGATTTATGAATGGAAGAATATTAGACCTTCATGATCATGATAGGACAATCGATGTCGGTCCCTTCATGATAGATGAAGTCGGTCCCTTCATGATTCATGATCTTATTATATCTCGATACGTAATTATGATCCAATTAGTGACCGAATGATTATAGATAAATGACGTAGACTTTCAGGTTACAGAAAATCGTTGTATTATATTGAATTAATTTAAATCAAGGAAAAAGTGCGATTATGATTTAGTGGTTTTTGTTGTCAAATGTTAAAATGACATATGAACAATATTATTTCATTATGGAAGAACTTTTATGAAAATATTACATATTTTTTTCGGTGGTTCCCTAAATATTTTGATGTTCAATTATCATGGACAAATACATTATATAATTTAGCGAAAGCGATAGATAATTTAAGTATTAGCATTATTCTCATTCCGTCGCACATTTTTTTTTTTTTTGCGAGTTTCGCGTTACGCGGTCTTCCAGTCAGGGCAGTTGCACGCTTTGTTCGCTATCGCCTTCGCCAGCGGCACGAAAACGTATCTCGTCTCTGGAATAAAAAATTTCAATCCAAATTATCAATGTCACGATTCATCCTCTGGAGCTAACAAGACAATAATTAAGATTGTTATTGAGAAAACGTAAAAAAATCACAATCATTTAGCTTTAACATATTTTACTTAAGCAAGTTTCATTCCCAAAAGCATAATTATGATTTTTTTAACGACGTTGGTCCAGTTTCTCTAGTTGAAGAGAAAAAAACGCAATCCTCAGGCCATCTACTTCTGCTTGCCTAATTTGGAGTTACTAGCGCATAGGCGAGCGTTTTGTAAGGCTTGAGTTCTCAGGAAATTAGAGGTCTTTGCTATTAGTCTTAACTTAAATGGGCGAGAAGGGGCCATTCATCAACTAACACTTTAGTTTGAAAATTATCAGCAGGATTTTTGGATAGGAAATTAGGAGGAATGTGTTGAAGGAAAACTGAAATATGACGATTAGAGGAGAGGATCATGGAAAAGAGGATACTGTGAAATAGGATTACGGGAGGCAGGTTTTTTGGAAAAGTAGGTTAAGGGAAACGAAATTCTCTGACATCAAGGATTGTCTACCCCGAGCAACGTTTATGTGAGCTGCCAGGTGTAATTTCAAAATTTTCACACTGAAAATTAAAATGTTAACTCACCGACTCTGTTGAGAAATTCCTGATTGCAAGCCGACATGACGAACTCGTTGCCGATTGTCGTGACCGGATACAGCGTTCCCAGGTTCAAATCTAAGAAATAAATGATTATTACGGCAATAATTGAAGATAATAATCAAGCAAAAATGGATGAAAATTTAGGAAGACACATGAATCATCATCAGTTTGCAGCGTCATGTTACGCATAATCTTCAAATTCCATATTACGTTTCACAATGCCTGATTGTTCGGTGCATTGAGACTTTCAGTTTTTTGCGACGCATTTATTCCATATTGGATTTTATTAATCACTTTATTTATCAATGTTTATTTCCAGTATCAGGTTGTAAATTATTTTCTTTTATACTTTTTGCACTTGAAGGTTTGGTTATGCTGTTTCTCGACTTCTACTCGTTACATCAGTAAAAGGGCTTCGCCAGTAAATTTTAGGAGAACTTAATCATAGGCAATTCAATACCGGGTAATTTTTTGTTACTTTTCTTAACCTTCTTCAAAGCTTTCATCTGTTTTTTTAATTCGTTAAATTTGCTCCCTCATTTCAATTCACTGAACGCCAGTTTACTAATTAAAGCTTCTTAATTACCTGCATTGTCTTCCCACGAAACTTTCGTGGTTCTCTCTCAAGTCTTATCGTTATCTGTCTCACTTGGTTGTTTTTATCGATAGTTCGCTCCGAGTTCTTGGCAATCAAAAGGAAAATAACTTATTAATATATTCCGCATGTCATCAATGTTTCGATTTAGGTTATTCTATTTTTGACGTATGGTCTTTACGTTTCCGCTTTTTTAATTCCTTAAAGAGGATTCGGTCTTTACTAACCTGTATTTGGTAGGTTATTTAGTACAAAGTTGGATTCTTTGTTGTTAAAGATAGGCAATGTGTACTGGTTCACCACGTAGTTGGAAGAGGCATTCTTCTTGTTTCCTGTTCTGTAACAGGGAAGCACAGACATAAAATTTGCAATGAAACGGTAAAATTTAAGCCATTACTCCATTAAATATAATATCAAGAAGCACTATCATTCTTACCTCTGTATATTCTAAATATTATTGCTTGATTAGTCAGCTAATCTCAAATTTAATAGGTTGACTCGCCTATTAACATCCTGATTTTTTTATTTTTCAAATAATATCATTATTAATATAATTATTATTATTATTTTTATTATTATTTATTATTATTATTAATTCATCCTCATTACATGCCTTCTAAGGGAAATTTTTTCACTTTAGTATATAATGAAATTTATGCACTTGTACTTGTATTTGAGTTTCATTTTGGATGAAACTCAGACCCAAAGAAATTCATTAATTATACTAATGAACATAACATCGACATAATAGCATATATGTTGGTCGAGCATAACATCGACAATAATAGACCAATTCAATTTAACATATTAAACTAGAGAAATTAATCGATTAAATTAGTTTTATGTCAATCATATTGTACACTTAAGACATTTGCATTTGGCGTAATGTTTTTTTGAAGATTTCAAAAATTTGACATAAGAAAATTGGTATATCCAGCTTGAATAGAAATAACTCAAATAAGATGACTTGCAATTCAAATAACTAATTAAATATATGTATCGACAATGGCATCATCTTTTTCCAGTCGAAATTGGCTGATATTCTTCTCGATTCCACTGTGTTCTACTTTCTTTTTTACTTTTTTTAAACGTCCAATTTTGACTCACTTGTCAAGCCACCTGACATTGTACAACTTCGATGAAGAGTCGAACTTCAGGACCAGACACTTAACGCCCTGTTCTTTCGTCGCAGGATCCCACGCCACGAGAGCAAGATCACCCGCGCTCTGGATCTGCGCAATAAGAATCCAGATAGATCCTTGATAACTTTATCACAATGACAACAGTCATGCAAGTAATCAAGCACGCATATCGACCTGTTTCATGTTCTAACTCTCTTTGTCTCTTATTTCTTTCATTTCGGAACTTCTTTCCCCTTTCAACCTGTTCTGTCATCTAAATTTTGTATCCTTTTTAAATCTCCTCAAAGACTCATTCTCGTCACAACTCTCACCGTGGCGAGGTTGCTGGAGCTTCCTCCGCCATCGCCGTTGTTGAATTGGAACGGCGCACAAACCCCAAGACCGCTCACCGCCCCCCCCACTTGAGAAGGGATCATCACCAGCAGGGGTAAGGCCACCAGCATCAGGGATGTTAGAGGGGCCATTTCTGCCTGTCAAGACAAATATTCATCTATTATTATTGAGTAGAATAATTAGGTTTCGATTTTTGAGAGAGATTTCAACAATAAAATAATTGAACGAAAACTAAATCTATTCATAATTTTGGAAATTCACTCTTTGTTAAGTGCAGGCACAAAAATCGACTCGTTTTGGAATATTTTTAATTTGTGTTTTTCGATTTTCTTCTATTTAATTAAGTTGATCTACCCAAAAGAAACTACCAATTGGGCCTTTGCTGAGAAAACTGATAATTTCCATATAAACTTGATTTTCTATTTGAACAAATTTTCCATTTGTTTCATTTACCGGTTCTGCAAGAACATCGAAATGTTTTGATTGCAAAAATTTCATATCGAAATAATTTCTTCTGAGGCCGTAAATGACGTAAAAGTTTTATTTGTAATGGTTTCACGCATCGAATATAAATGTGTCAGAATTCGATTGCTCGATGCATCATATCGAGTTATCGGTCGAAATTTTCATGCATCAGTAGATCGAAGAGTATTGAGAAAAATACAATTACAAAATTTTTCATTGTTATGTTGATCAAATCTCCGAAAAAAACAGTACTTCCAATAAATCACATACAACCATTGAACTGAAACTTCCACTAGATAATATGTTTCCATTATTTACGTACTTCCATTAAAGTACGTACTTACATAAAATTATATATCTTCGTTAAATTAAAACTTCCCATTATTTACGTACTTTCATTTAATGAACTTGAAAAAATTCCCCCACATCCAATAGAACTTTCATAGTTTCGTCTCTCGAAGCACGATAACGTCCGAATTAACACGAATCCCTCCATTGAAAATAGCTATTTTCTTGATCATGATAAAATCAATAAGTACAGATATTCCTTCGTTATGAATTTTCAGTTTTTATTCATTTATTTTTTCATTATCTAAGAAAGTAAGACTTTATCTTAAATTTCGTTGATTCAACAACAAACGATATGCAATTTCTTTCAGAACAGCTTGGAATTATTAGTACATCATACGCCGTAAATCATAAGTCGACCAAAAGCCAAGAGCCATTAGTATCTCAAACAATGAATAGACCTTCAGACTAAATTCGTGAATTTCAATTTCCTGTAATATGCACATAGTAATAACGATATATTTTTCACAAAACTAAACAATGCTTAAATTTATTTAATGCTGCATGTTACAACTTATAGAAATATTAATGACTCGGATTATTAGACTAGTATCAGTGACGATATAGACTTCAATGATCTACAAGTCAGTCTTTAGAGCAAATAATTGAGAATAATGCTCCATGTAATTAAAATAAAAATTTAAAATAATTTTTTTATTAAAAGTGAAAAATAAATAAAAAAAAGTGAAAATAAATAAAAGTGAAATTATTTATTAATTTATATTAAAATGTTTATTATAAATAAGATATTAGTGAGGGAAAATAAAAAAATTCATTTGACAAACCGAAACTAATAAATATACTTTTTTCAATAATATTGCTCACCTCAGTAAATGAGAATTTTCCACGGACAAAAATTCGTATAAGTTCTCAGGAATGTTTATTGTAACCTTCCCCTTGAAACGCACGTCCACAACTGGAACTCTTTACCACATCCAACGACCTCACACACAATTCTACACAAGTGTGGCAATTCAGACACTTGTGTGGCGCACTTTTGACACGTTCTGACTCACCGTACACGAATAAAGTAGGAATCAAATGCGCATCAAAACTCGTGAAAATGTTGTTGGTTCAACAACATTTCAACAACATAAAAAGGTTTTGATCGCCAGCTTCGACAGTAAGCCATTTTATTCTCCTTTTTATTCGATAAATTTGCGCAATCTTATACTACGCAATGTTTCTGAAAGTTGAAAGGACGTTTTGCTTAATAAACAAATGCTATACGTGAAAGTCTCAATTATAAAGGTGAGTAGGAAAGTAATAGTGATGCACAAGGTTTTGAATCAATAACTGACGAGTCGGTGATATACTGTGAACTGAGTGAAATAGGTTTTAAAATCAAATAATATTGCAATATCTTGCATCAAACATACGCACGCTTCTCTCAACTACGTGGATGGTGTTCATTGATCTAACACGCTGGGTGGTTGGTGATGCGTGATTTACGATTGATGATGTTCTTCACACCGAACACTTGTGTACGCTGCACGTGTTCTGTTGGAACCACAGGTGTAATAATCGTGGTCCCTCAGCTCATACTCTGAGTATAACTGCACTGATTCCGATCAAAATTCTGGTAACGGACCAAGTAAAATTGCATATATGAAACACATAACTGTGAAGTTATATTACTATCGCAACGATATTAACATGGCATACATACAAATTAAACACTGAATGCTCCCTTGTAAATTTGTAGCAGAGTTTTATAAGATTAAACATTTCACTGTCGGCCAACGAACATTGCTGGTAGCCAGGTAACGTGCTTTGATGTTGCAGCGTTCTAGTAAATTTTCATCAATTATTGATGATTGTAATATATTTTGATTGTGTGATTTTCATATGTATTAAAATATACTCGGGATCGATCCCGGAAATCAAAGTTTTGGAACAAGTGCACATTGACGTACAGAAGTAATAATTGTACTTAAACTTAAACATGTTTTCGATGTAATCTTTCGTTCGCATTTTGTTAAAAACCAAATAAAAAATTAAAACGTAGATGATTAAATTCGTGGATAACGAATATAGATGGGATCAATTAAAGAAATCAATTATTTGTTATTATCAAGGCATTAGATGCAATTTTTCAGTAAGGAATTTCTTTCAGTAACGTCGTAAAAATACTTTCGTTATGACAAAAAAAAAACAATAGCTTCTCGGCCCTGCGATCTCATCGCAGCGATGCATTGATTGTCTTCATGAAAACCTGCATCATTATGTATGATGCGTTTCATAACTTTTTATATGATATAATATGATGAGATATGATACATTTTATTTATTCATTATTATCATTATTACTACTATTATTATAATTATTATTACTTTTATTATTATTATTATTAATATTATCATTATATACTATTATTATTATTATTATTAATATTATTATTATTATTATTTTGATCGAGAAAACATTTATTATGCGAAATATACAATGTACCATGACATTCGACGATCAACAGAAAGTTGTTTTACATTAGTTGATATTTTACCTACACATTTCTTAATAAGCGTCGAGAGTGACACGTATTTTAGAAAGAGATATTTTGTCATGCACAAGAAAACTTTGTCTGATCCTCCTTATCAAAAATGTAACGAGTGGATTTTTGAACCCAGGATTATGAACCATACTTCACAATCTGGGATTTTACGTGAGAAAAGATGATCTGGTGCAGCATTTGGAGTGTTTTGAAGGATAAATTCCTGGGTCCATTCATCATCGTCTGGCAGCGCATCGATCAACAATTGAACAAATTTGAAGTAATCTTTCATGTGAGCCTCTGCATGGCGCTGAATGGGCTGCTCTATTCACTGATTTTGAATGGACAACGTTAGCTGATGCTTATAAATTTGTCAGATTTTAAGTAATGTTCCTGTTACCGGGGAAGAAAAATCGTATAAGTGACCAATGAAGAAAATTCTCCATTTATGAGCTGATAATGAAAGCCAGATTCTGAATACAGATTATTATAAATATTTCTCTGTTCAAGTGCATGTCAACCACTGCCAGGTATTTTTATGTTTAACACTTTCCCAGATTTATTATCAAGTTCGTCTCTATTTTTGAGTTTGCAGCTCTCTGGACAGGTTTTCCTTGGATTTAAGCAAATAAATTTCTTTAGCGACGTGTTGAAAATTCAACCAAAATCGTTTCAGTTTGTGCGTAACCTATTCATTTTCACATCATGATATATTTCTTTACCTGCATTGATAAACTGGATAAACGTATTTCTTTCTACACGGTTGATTGCACACCGTCGTTATTTGCATTATTTTGTTGCGCATTTCCAATACATTACATATGATCAAGGGCTTTCAAATGTACCTCATTATCAAAGGGAACAATCATGATTTGAAAAAGTTTTTTTAAGCAACCTAGGCTTTCATCACTGACTATGACTTATAAGGCTGTCCATTCAGTGTAATCAGAGTTGATTAGCCGACACTATAGCGGGCTACTGCATTGCCACAGGTGCTCTTTAGGTTTGACCCAGGAACGAACAAAAATTCATATTTGCCTCAGTCTCAAGCTGGTTTTTTTCATTTTTTTTGGCCTGGTACGAAAAAACTAGAGGCTTGTGTAAGTCTATGTAGCGTGAGACTGGAATAAATTAAATTCAATAAATGAACAATTGAATTTTTTCTGAAATTAAATCAATAAACAATTGGGAAATTGTTCCTAAAATTCAATAAATGAACAATTGAATTTTTTCTGAAATTAAATGAATAAACAATTGGGAAATTGTTCCTAAAATTTAATAAATGGACAATTGATAATTTCTCCTGAAATTAAACAAATGAATAATTGGATATTGTTCTTGAAATTTAATAAATGAATAATTGGAAATTGTTCCTGAAATTGAATGAATGAGTAACTGGAAATTGTTCATGAAATTCAATAAATGAACAATTGAAATTTCTTCCTGAAATACAATAAATAAACAATTCTAAGAAACTCAAACAACACAGCACATTCAAGCCTAACAAAATAACATTTTGAAACACATGTATGACTCAAATTCCAAAATAAGTCATAATATCATCATTTAAAAGAACACATCAGTACTATCTATACCACGTAATTCCACTCTACTGTTACATCAGTCCGCTCGACCTTACCGGTATACGTTATGATTCATTATAAAACAGTCCTACAAATTTACATCCTATTTAAACCCACACACAATAAGAATAAATCGCTAAAAAAAATGCTGAATATGAACAATAATTAACTTGATCAGTTTTATTACATATCATTCTTTTTTCTTCTGAGTGATATTGCGTGAGACATTTTCCTTCATTGTGATATTGATTAGACTGTTTCGACTCCTATAAGAGCTCATCGAATCCAAGCAATGCCAGATTAGTCCGTTACTTATTATGTCAATTGGTAAATAATGGAGAATTGGGCATCCCAAAAAATTATACATTGCCTCAATGGCAAAACAGGAGCTTACAATAGGTATTATTTTATCATTTTGAGTGGCCGTTATTTGAAAAAATGTCTATTGCACAATTCAATTGATTGGCTTAAATCATTTTCGGCCGCACAATTAAAAAAATAATTCAGAAACTTGTCAAGGACACTCCGTGTCCAGTCTCTCTCTCTTTCTCTCTCTTTCTCTCTCTTTTCCTCCCTCTCTCTTTCTTTTCTACACTCTCTCCAGTCTATCTCCGGGAGTGTAAGTTTCATGTCATGAAAAGTAACAATAATAGTTTGGTCGGTAATAGTTTGTTATGCGAGATGCTCATAACTCACTAATAAAATGAACATTGTAGAAAACATTCAACACCAGACTCAACACGATAGATCTTAACGAAAATTCGAATTTGATTTTTTAATAAACGTTTATTTATTTATTTTATTAATGAACGATTTGATTATGTAACAGAGTTTAGGTACATGGAATGGCGTCGTCTGAATAACAGAGTTTAGGTACATGGAATGGCGTCGTCTGAAAGCCACGTGTACTACAGGTGTGTGCTGGAGGTGTGCTGGAGGTGTGTGCTGGAGGTGTATGCTGTGGTGCGCAAATGTCCAACATGTGGTCATTAATTACAATGAATGATTGCTCCACTGCCACAGCACTTACTTTACATCAGTCTAGAGTTCAGTTCACCTTCCACGTGTAAAATTAAGTCCAGAGTTCCATTGAAGAGTTAGAATCAAGGTTATTAAGTTCTAAGACTCGATTTTTAGTATGATTCTAGTCTTTATTCATCATTTGAACAGCCTGATTTCTGCTAATTCTCTTTCGTATTCGTTTATTTAAAGCTGACACTTGCAATATATCAGCGAGTAAAGTATAAATCTGAATATGGAACAAATAAGAACACAAAAGTCCACGGAATTATAGTTCCAGCAACGCTTTCGTACTCGGGCATTCGTGTATTCATTCAAATTTGCTTCATTATTTGATGGTGATCAAATTCAGAGACATTGAGCTGAATGAGTAAAGCTTTGTACAATGTTTTTTTTTAATTTATACCAAGAATTATTTCAAACACAAAAATGCATTAATAACATGCAACCAATAAAAGATCGACTTTTCGTTCAGTCATAGAAATGAATTAATTTAATTCAAGCACTCAAGCACTGAATTAGATGGCACTGGCAACGTAAAAAATTCAACCCGCTAATAACGCTATTACTCGCTGACAAAAAAGAATTAATTAGGAATTAAATAAATTTTCACGAAATAAGCATTTGTTGAAGCAATACCGACGTGTGAATAACTGAAATTGAATTCTGGGGACAAACTAGGGTATGAGATAGTAAAGGTTTTCAAAGTAATACAAGTAAAATAACAGCCAATACCGCGCATTAATTGATTTGTTGTACAATCAGAGAAATTCGCGGCTTGCCTATCATGCCTCATATAATTCCTGCTGGTACAGTTTGTCATAACACCAATATAATATAATAACACCAAT